TTGTTTACAAAACAACGTAATATACCAAGCCACGATAAAATCACCAGATAATGAAGAAAAAGTATACATAGGAGTAACTGAAGGACCCAGGAAGCAAAGAAATTATACACATAAAACATCTTTCACAAATAGTAAATATGCGAACAGTAATATGCTTTCTAAGTATATCTGGGAAATTAAAAACAAAACGCACATCACACCAAAAAATATCTTGGAAGATAAGGAAAAAGTCATTAGCCTACAACAACCAATCAAAAACTTGCAAACTTTGCTTGGAGGAAAAAATAGCTATCATTACTTTCCCCGACCAAAATAAATTATTAAATAAAAGATCCGAGCTCATCTCAAAATGCAGGCATGAAAATAAATTTTTACTACGTAACCTAAAAAATGAAAAACAGAAAAAATAAAGAAAAAAAACAAATAAACACACTAATAAAAAATAGAAATAAAAAATAAATAAATACTATGTTGCTTAAAACTGAAAACCGAAAAGAGAAAATATACAAGTAAAATAAATTGACCTAAATTCATCCAAGTAAATAAATAGACAAACCAATCAAAAATTAAAAAATCTTCCCGCCAAAAAATAATAGAATGAACTACAACAACCAACCCCAAAATTGAACAAATAGCTTTAATTAAATTCTCAAGCCAAAAGAAAACTGTTAAATAAGTGATATAAACAAGTTTTTACTACGTTAATAAATAAATAAAATAAGAAACAAAAATAAAAACGAGCAATATAACTTGACCCAAATAAATAAATAAATGACTTCTGGTAAAATAACCGCCATAATAGAATACCCACAATGCACCACTAACCCGCATATATATAAATAGCCGAGAAAAATAACAGCATATGTGGCCTGATGATTGCATATAGCATAAAACAGACTGTCGCCTCTAAGTGTTGACTTCTATGTTCACTTTTATATTTACACACGCTCTATCTCTGATATTGAGCACTTTATTCCATAAATATAGCAAACCTTAAGACTATATATATATATATATGACATATAGTAAACAAACTCCTTATTTGAAACAAGCCATATATATATATATATATATATATATATATATATATATAACCCTACAAATCAAAACCTACCCACACAAGACAGACATGCTTACGGAGGTGTTGAGGCCCCACACAAATATACACACATCATACTCACTCACTTCCTAATGAGCCAAATAACATGCACACACACACACTTAACAGAGACACATCCCCTCTCTAGGAACCAATAAAACTGTCAAACTGACCAGGGGAATTCAGCGCAGCATAGATCCATCCAGCTCTTATCTCAAATAACAACTTAAAAGAGACTGTTTGACCAACACAAGGAATGTTAAAAAATTCATGTTAAAAAGATAAAAAAAACAAATGAAAACTACAGAGAAAAGTTCATTTTCTCCATCAAGACATTCATTTCTGTAGTTCACTGCTACCAGCAAGAAGAAAACATTTTTTCTCCTGATGATGGCCATGTTGGCCAAAACTAGTCGAGGAATCTAAATGAAATAATAATAATAAAAACGAAAGAATATTAATCTACAACCCAGTGTGTCTGAAGATTTTAATTTTTTAATATTTTTTATTGTTATATATATATATATATATTCAATAAAACAATAACAACTCAATTGACATATCTGATTGACCAACTCAAGAGTTTTGTGTCAAAATGTTCAAAAAAAGATGCTAAATACATCTGTTGAAATTAATATTAGATTTCATATTTATATTCCATAGAACAAATGAACATAAACATAGATTTCCAATTTGAAATTCTTATGTTATTTTTTTTTTTTTTTTTTTCACAAAACTCCTACATGGTAAGAATTACTGATTTGAAAGTTATAATTAGTGTTTGATCCAAGGAGTGTAGGTATGACATGATAATAATTTCAATAGATTTATTGAACATGACACTAAACTCTTGAGTCACTCAACCAGATGAGTTAATTTAACTTGTTGATTTATTTTATATGATAGTGCTTTGAGCACTTCTTGACAGTTCTACTGGCTTGAAAAAATGTTAAATTCTCATAACTTTCACATATTTTTCATTATTATTACTACTACTTTATATATATATATATATATATATATATATATATATATAGATCTGACCTAAATTGTAAATCAAACCATCAATATTTTCAATTAAGGATGCATGTATTGTGGTTATATGCAGTCTTTAATAACTCATGACTATCACACATCAGAAAACATTATCAATATATTCTCATTTGTTTTCTCGATTACATGTTTTTGTACTCACGTTATTGAGAAAGTAACATGTGTTTCTGGTTTGGCTTTTATGTTAAGGGAAATACTTAAAAGTGGTCAGAAAGCAATTTTTTGGAATGTTTCCAATAAAACCATTTCCTCATTGTTGTAAAGGTTGAGATTTGATTGCAAAAGTATTTGCATTTGCTGCCAGCCAACTGCAAATCTGAGGGGCCATTGATAACAATCTGCAGCTGGGGATTTGCATATTATGCTCGTAAAAAAATGTAAATATCCTGTTTTCAACATATTCAAAGCTGCACATGCAGCTATTAAATAAACAGCATTAACTTAATACTGATAATACAATAGACCTAAAGGGACCCGTTCTTAACCTTGACTATAGTAAATTTAAAGCTGCCAAACTATTATATCTCTTTAAAATGAGTGATGATATCAACATGTAATGAACTTTATATGACATTTCATAAGCACTCATTATATCAACATGATATGCACTTACAGGCATATCATGTTGAAACATGAGTTCCTTTACAAATCCCAAATTTAAGCAATGTTGACCCTGGTCAGTACCTAGATGGGTAACCACTTGGGTACACTAGGTGCAGCAAGCTTGGATGTGCGTGCAGTGTAATGGATAATATCTCAAAATTTTGAATCAGAGATCTTTCCAATTTTCTTTGGGTTCATTATATTCACCTATGCACAAATAACACTTCTCCCCTAATCTATGGATTAATTAGTAAGACTAGTATCATTATTAGCTAAAAAAAAATGCTTACAATCTAAAAATATTTTCTGGCATTAAATAACCTGCAAAAGGTTAATAAACCATATAAAGTGAATCAATTAATAAGTACCTAGAATGAAAATTCTTTTTTTACAATTATTATATTTTTTTAATATGCATACGAGGAATGTCTTGTTAATGTATTTGACAAAGTAAAAAAACAAAACATTCAAGTGCAATTATTTTAATGTCTGCTGCATCAAAAGTGGTAGTTTAAATTTTCCTCGGCCAAATACAGAACAATTTATCATTCTTCAAAGGCTGAATATAACATTGTTCAGATTCCAACACTTAATTATAATGAAAATAATTTGATTCCTTTTCTCTAGTTTTATCTGAACAATTAAAAGTGCTTCCATATTGGTAACTATGATAGTTAATTTTTTGTTATCCTTTGTAAATCCCAGATTTTATTCTTAACTAATAAATAACATAGATGAACAATAAGTATATTTTATATCCTTATTGAAATACTGTCATCTCTTCGTATGCTTGGGGGATATGTTCAAAGACTTAAAGCACACCTGAAACTGCATAGTGTACCAAATTCTCTCTCTCTCTCTCTCTCTATATATATATATATAATCAATTGCCACTAAGATGCAAGGAAGACTGGAAGTGAATGAGAATAGAAAAGAATTTAGTATATGGCTTCTAGGTCATTATAAACAGGAAACAAGATATAGACTTCTACTCCTGTTCAAAAGACTGCTGGAGGAGTGTGAACTGGATGATTGACAAACAAACCTATCTACTCCTACATGTGTTTTTTTTTTTAAATATACCTATGACATCATTTGATTAATACATTTGGTAAAATAAAAGATTAACAACAATTATGATGAAGTAGAACAATTATGACAATTTGAATAATATGCTTGTAAAAATTAAAGGAGAAATCTTGATACGTAATGCATAGAAAATTTGTTCTTACTGTAAATTTTAGTAACTTCAGCATGTTATTATTTCTTTAATTATTAACAGAACTTTCACATTTTCACTTACTTAAAGGAAGCACTTTACAGGTTCTCTTTGCAAATTCTCCAAATTGGCTGCATCACTGTTCTTGTACTTTGATACCAATATTATATAAAAATTATGAATTCTTTAATTCTGGATTTGACTTATAGGTAACTGAAAATGTATTCAAGGGGAAGTCACTGTAGACTTGTTTATTTCAGAATAAATTTTTAAAAGATCATTTCTGCATGGAAATTTATTTGTATTCTATCATGAATCTGATACACTCCTGAATCTAGGAGGAGGAGGAGGAGGAGGAGGAAGTAAGAAATCCAGATTATGAAGATATGTAGAAAAGATAAAGATGCTGTAATTGCAGTAATTGGGGAAGCATCCCCTCTGGAGTCTTTTCCTCAAAGTAGTATTTCTTTGGAAGATGTCCAAATGGACTTTTCTTATTATTAATAGAATATAAAGGGAATGAAGATGGTTTATCCCAATGTATGTGGCATGCCAGATCTTAGCTGTGAAGGTCTGAACTGGTAGAACTAATGAATGTTGCTCATCAGAACAGCAAAAAAACAAATGCAAATAATTTTTAAAATTCAGAAGTAAAAAATGAGTCGTTTCATTTAATCTTTAGATCCTATAACTTAATAATGTTGCCATGACTTATTTTAAACAGAACAGAAAAGCAAGAAGAGTTAGAGACAAATTTACATTAAAAAAGCACAAGAATCAAACATATTAATCAAGTTAAGTGCAAAATGCCAATCAATAAAAAAAAAAATGAACAAAACACAGCTACATGGTTATTGCTTTGGATTAGAGGTTCTATTTAACAAGCAGATATTAAGGAATATTTATGAATAGGTATGTTAAGGAAAGAATCATGAAAAGGGTTAGGCAAGGAATATTAAAAGGAATTAGAAGTTACTTAGTAGGGCAAAGGAAGAAGGGTGAGCATAGCATGAATCACAAACTTACCTAGTACATGTCTTGGGGCACTGTCTTCTGTTATAGCACTTTCTTCATCACAGTCAAAGAAAAGTAGCATAGTTCCTTTCAGACATACCCAGTAGCGCTTCCAATTGCGTTTTGGAGCTAATTCCAATTTGCGCTTCTTGTGGATCAGCCAGTTCTTCACAACCAGCCATCTGTGAAAGAAAAACACAAGAAAAATGCCATTATAAGGAAAACATCAACTTTATCCAATGTGAATTCTCCATTGAAGAGACATTTTTTTTCTGATATTTTCTGGATAACAATGAACCCCATGAATATAGCCTAAGTTTTGTTAGTCTTTCTTATGGCTATAACTCTGTGTAAATTTATTTTTGTTAGATTGCTTTGTCCTTTTGCATGATAGACAACATTGTGCATAAGTAAATCACTAATTCCAAAGCACGATGATGAAAAAGCAATTATTTTAACAAAGTCCACTACATAGATGTGTGGGATTCCACCATCTTTTTAATGCAGAAATGCCACAACATATTTATGCTTGAACCGTCCCACCAATAACACAAAATATTTTTGTCTTCTTATGAATAGCAGTTAGCAAAATGACATCTGATATGAAAGTGTATTTAAAGTAAACATGCATCATTGAATTTCTCCATGCAGAAAAAATGTACCCATTGATATTCATCAAAGATTGCTGAATGTTTACTGAAACTAAAATGTAATGTAGTGGATAATGTATTTCAGCAGTGGTGACAGCAACATACATGAGCTATAATCAGGATGGACCTCTATTAACCTGCAAAATGAAAAGTGGTTGAAAAATTTATACTCAATGGTAGGTAGTGACTATGCGGAAAAATAGTTTTTTATTGTTAGAAAATTGCTCTATCCAATGGTGTTAATGTACTTTATTGTAGTTTCTGCAAAAACAGGGAGTAAGCAATTCTTTTGGAGTATCCATCATATTTTTCTGGAAAATGTAACTTTTTGTGAAACACTAATATTCAGAGTTGAATATTAATTGCATAGATCAAACATTATGCAGTAAAAATTATAGATCAAAATTCAGCTAACAATTTCAAGGAAGGCTATAAACATATTGATGGATCATCATATAGTGTTATTTGGATATCTGAGATAAAGTATTTTCAGTATTCTATGGATTATTCAAACTTAGCATTTTTTTCTTCCTTTTTAAAAAAATGTTTGACCGACATCTTTATGCGGATGGGTACGGCAGCTTGTAACCTTTGAAATTTATCCAATATTTTATTGTTGATATTTCAAATGAAGCAAAACTTCTTAATACTCAAGTTGGAGTAGAGGAGGAGTGGCAACAAAAAAATATTGAGTAAGACTCAAAGATTACTGGCTAAAGTGTACACTTGAAGATGAACGGAGAATGTATTGGCCAAAATGTAAGAAGTTGCCAACAGTTAAAATATTTTGATTGAAGAGTATTATATCAAAATGCAGAATATAGACATATTGAATTTGCCGCATTTGCAAATTGTTGTTAAAAAAGTTGATGGCAAAGAAGCCCAGCCATCTTTCATTACCTAAAAAATAAATAAAAATGTATATTCCAGATCTTACATACCAAGACTACAAAAGTGTGCACTTAAATGAATGACATAATGCACCTAAAACTCATATATATATATATATATATATATATATATATATATATATATATATATATATATATATATTATATAAATATAAAATAAAAAGAAAGAACAGTAAGATATATAATCCGGTGTTCTTATAGATATTTTTATTTTTACAAAATAGTGCTCAATGTAAATTTACAGAGCATTAATATTATAAATTAATTGATTTAAAATATGGTTTTTTTCCAGCTACACAGTTCTAACCATGTTTCAAAAATGGTTTCAAAAATTTTTGAAACATTGTTAGAACTGTGTAGCAGAAAAAAAACATATTTTAAATCAATTAATTTATAATATATATATATATGTGTGTGTGTGTGTGTATACATATATGTGTGTGTGTGTATATATGTATATATATATATTTCTTTGAACAAGATTATTAAGGTACAAAGTACTTTGCCAGTCTTGTTCAACTAAACATGTCTTAAAAAAAGGATTCCTGCCCAAATACACATCTATGTATGTTTTCTAGATACATTTAAACAACAAATGAAAATGTTAATGTGATGCATGTTCCATAGTATTACATAGAGTGCACTGAAGAATTAGGAATAGATAATAATATAAAGAAAAATAGGCAGACTTTGACCTTTGTGCCTGCAAAAAAAAACCCAATGTGTCAAAAGGACTGTTTTTGCCTTGACACCACTATTATTTTGACTACCTTGATTCCTCAGCAATATTTTTTTTTTAAAGTGATGATTAAAATTCTAATAAAGATGAAAGTGAATTTATACTTTTTTGTTTGTTTTGTAAAGAATAAAAAAAATATTTAACTATCTAAATAAATAGTTTAATATTTTTTAAAATCTTTTAGATTGTTTATTTACAAGAATGATTTTATATTTACAACATTCTAAAAACTAATACAATTAAAACTAATCAAATACAATATTTATCATTTACCAATTTAAAAAGAAATAAATAGGAAAACAATTTTTTATTCATAAATTTATAAGCATTTACTAAATTATTAAAATATGAGAACCAACTATAAGGAAATTCTTATCATTTACCATTTTATATGTTCAAATTGATTGGCATTTATCCAATGTTTTGTCAACCATTCCAATAAATAATATAATAAATAAATAAATAATGTAATAATCTAATAAATAGTGTTTATTATTTTTGTTGTCAATTCTCAAGAAAATGTATAAATTAATTTTCATATGTTTAGGTTTTAATAAAATTCTAATGATCATTTTTTAAAACAAACATTGTCTAGAGAGTGGAGGTAGTTAAAATAATAGTGGTGTCAAGGGAAAAACTGTCCTATAGACACTATTTTTTTTGTGGGCACAAAAGTCCAAGTTTGCCATAAAATATATTAAATAGAAAAAAATTATATTATTAAAACATGTTACTTATGTCTAACTTAAAAACAAAAACAAATAAAAGCTTATTTGATATAACCAGCACCGTCTTCAAGGACAGCCATGATGCAACCTCAAAATTGATTGCATGTCTGGTTCATATGGTTCTCTTTCATGTTGGCCATCTTCTTAATGATGGCACCCTTTAACTAGTCCTTGGTATTGTGCAACTGCTAGTTGGTCTCCTTCTCGATAATACCCCAGATTCTAATGATTCAAATCAAGTTGCATGTTAAGAGTGATATGATTATGAAAATTCTTGGCTAGCCACTCCTGGGTTATATAGATCCTGTGAGAGGTAGCAGAGTCCTGTTTAGCCATCCACCTTGATCCAGGGTTTAGACCTTATGTCCAGCACCTCAATGAAGAGTGTACTGACTCTGAGGTCCTTGTTGATCAGGATAATCAAAAATTATATGAACCTGGTGTGCATCACCATGAGTACCTCCATGTGGTCTGCACAGATTGACCCGTTGCCACCCCCATCAACAATCATGTCTGTGAAGAAAAAATTTCAAAATCTCTATAAAATGAACAAATTATACAAATTCTAGCAGACATATTAAACACATTCTGTTAATCAGTTTCAGACAAAATAAAACCACTGATATGACATTCTTACTGATTGGATACCAACTTTAAATTTAATGAACAGAGAAAGATAAAAATTATATGACATGTAAAACATATCAAATTATGAAATTGCAAGATTTCAGCTTTTTGCCTGTATAGTTATTAAGCTATTAAATATTTTATGCTTTTTAAGTAACATATTCCATGATGCAACTGAGCATTTTTCAGTTAAATATTAGTGTTTACTACTATGTCCATGTGCCAGGTATAAATCAAGGACAACGTATCAAGTAGACAGTTTGAATCATTAAAATATCTTCCTGTGTCAAATTTAATTCCTGTTGTACAAAAGCTGTCTTCATAAAAAGAGAAGAACAAATTAAGGTTGAAGCAGTAAGTGAAGTCATTAAGAAATCTTCCTGTGTTTTGTCTATTTCCTGTTGTACAAAATCTGTCTTCATAAAAAGAGAAGAACAAATTAAGGTTGAAGCAGTAAGTGAAGTCATTAAGAAATCTTCCTGTGTTTTGTCTATTTCCTGTTGTACAAAAGCTGTCTTCATAAAAAGAGAAGAACAAATTAAGGTTGAAGCAGTAAGTGAAGTCATTAAGAAATCTTCCTGTGTTTTGTCTATTTCCTGTTGTACAAAAGCTGTCTTCATAAAAAAGAGAAGAACAAATTAAGGTTGAAGCAGTAAGTGAAGTCATTAAGAAATCTTCCTGTGTTTTGTCTATTTCCTGTTGTAAAAAGCTGTCTTCATAAAAAGAGAAGAACAAATTAAGGTTGAAGCAGTAAGTGAAGTCATTAAGAAATCTTCCTGTGTTTTGTCTATTTCCTGTTGTACAAAATCTGTCTTCATAAAAAAGAGAAGAACAAATTAAGGTTGAAGCAGTAAGTGAAGTCATTAAGAAATCTTCCTGTGTTTTGTCTATTTCCTGTTGTACAAAAAAGCTGTCTTCATAAAAAGAGAAGAACAAATTAAGGTTGAAGCAGTAAGTGAAGTCATTAAGAAATCTTCCTGTGTTTTGTCTATTTCCTGTTGTACACAAAAAGCTGTCTTCATAAAAAGAGAAGAACAAATTAAGGTTGAAGCAGTAAGTGAAGTCATTAAGAAATCTTCCTGTGTTTTGTCTATTTCCTGTTGTACAAAATCTGTCTTCATAAAAAGAGAAGAACAAATTAAGGTTGAAGCAGTAAGTGAAGTCATTAAGAAATCTTCCTGTGTTTTGTCTATTTCCTGTTGTACAAAAGCTGTCTTCATAAAAAAGAAGAACAAATTAAGGTTGAAGCAGTAAGTGAAGTCATTAAGAAATCTTCCTGTGTTTTGTCTATTTCCTGTTGTACAAAATCTGTCTTCATAAAAAGAGAAGAACAAATTAAGGTTGAAGCAGTAAGTGAAGTCATTAAGAAATCTTCCTGTGTTTTGTCTATTTCCTGTTGTACAAAATCTGTCTTCATAAAAAGAGAAGAACAAATTAAGGTTGAAGCAGTAAGTGAAGTCATTAAGAAATCTTCCTGTGTTTTGTCTATTTCCTGTTGTACAAAATCTGTCTTCTTCAAAAAAGAGA